GTGAATTATTCACTTCGAACCGAGTGACACATTCACTTTACGTTCAGAGTTAAACAGTTCACTTTTGTGAAAAGTGAATTTTCACTAATTACGAGTGGCAGTATATTCACTATCACTTGGAGTGAATATTCACTCGTTTGGAGTTAGATTTCACTCTAAGAAATTTAGAGAGTACGACGATACTGCTTTGACGATAGCGATTGCTTATTTTTTCGAAGTAACTGAGCTTCTTTTATTTCTTGAAGTAGATATTTCGTACCGCTCTTTATCGATAAAAACACTCCGATCAGTACTTGTTTTCTTCAACTCACTCAATTTATCATAAAAAATCTTCTTTTTATCAGACATGATTAGCACGCAAACCAACGACGTCCACACTCTAGCAATACTAAATAAAATGACGAACAAGAATGTACATGAATCCGTTGGCCATTAATAGATTACATTTGTCTTATATCGCGTCATGGCTGCATCAATAGGCGTCCACAACGCGTTGTGGCATTTTTACATTGCCAGAACGCGTTTTGGTCGATTTCAAAAGAACCTCAACACGAATTTCGTTTTGTGGCCTTTTTGAATATGCCAAAATGCGTTTTTAAAAGTGCCACGACACAAATTTCGTGTTGTGGCTGAATCTAAGATGTCTGAATGCGTTGTGACCGGTTTTTCCGTCCAATGAGCGTTTTCGGTCTTTGAGCCTAACATATATACTAGGACTGTGAATTAATTTTGAGGGACTTATAATAGATCACGTAACTTATGTTATATCGCATCGGATACTTCTGTAACTATATTCATGTCAAAGCTCTGTCATTAAGCTTTACTTTTAATTATGTCATTTTGCTGAAGTGTAAACAACATATTTTTTCTCAGCTCCGAAGATGTCGAATTACGAGCCAAAAACACCATTAGCGAGAAGTTTTACTTTTCCTGTTTAATTCAAAGAAAAGTACTATTGAAAGTCATCGAGTGTTGTTGGAAACTTACGGTGAACATAATCCATCGATAAAAACGTGTGAGGGTGATTGGTTTCGACGTTTTAGAAGTGGTGATTTCGATACAGTTGACAAAGAACGCCCTGGTCAACCGAAAAAGTTCGAAGATGAGGAATTGGAAGCATTACTCGATCAAGATTCATGTCAAACGCAAGATGAACTTACTGAATCGTTGAATGTTGATCGCACAACAGTTTCCAAACGTTTAAATGCGCTCAATATGATTCAAAAGCAAGGAAATTGGGTGCCATACGAATTGAAGTCGAGAGATGTTGAACGGCGGTTTTTCACGTGCGAACAATTGCTTCAACGGCAAAAAAGAAAGGATTTTTTGCATCTTATCATCACTGGCGATGAAAAATGGATATGCTAAAGATAATCCTAAGCATAGAAAATCGTGGGGGTTTACCCAGTCATGCATCAACATCGATGGCAAGGCCGAATATTCATGATTCGAAGCACATACTCTGTATTTGATGGGACTAGCTTGGTGTTGTTTACTATGAACTGCTTCAACCGAATGAAACCATTACTGGTGAACGCTACCAAACACAATTAATGCGTTTGAGCCGTGCATTGAAGGAAAAACGGCCGCAATTCGAGCAACGGCACGATAGAATAATTTCTCAACATGACAACGATCGACCATATGTTGCTCGTGTAATCAAAAAATATTTAGAAACGCTGAAATGGGATGTTTTACCCCACCCGCCATATTCACTAGATATTGCTCCATCGGATTACTACTTGTTCCGATCCATGGAACATGGCCTGGCTAAGCAGCACTTCCAATCTTACGAAGATACAAAAAATTGGATCGATTGGTGGATTGCATCAAAAGATGAATTGTTCTTTCGACGCGGAATCCGTATGCTACCAGAAAAAATGGGAAAAAGTAGTAGATAGCGATGGACAATACTTTGAAAAATAATAATGTACACAATTTTTCACAATAAGGCCTTGAATTTACAAAAACTACCTCAAAATTAATTCACAGTCAATATATATATGGACATCCTGAATATATATATATATATACAGGGTCTACCAAAAGTGTGGAAACCTCTAAATATCTCGGAAAATATACGTTTTACAGAAAAGTGTTTCCAACAAAAGTTGTAGGGTTTAAGAAGATCTATATACTGATTCTATCAGTTTGACCTTGGATGGCGTCGTCAAGGTCAGGTCAAGGTCACATTGACTTTTTTAAATGACACCCCCTACATTTGATTGCATATTCTTATAGCTTAATTCAAGAGCTTTCCAAAACACTATAATAATGTTCATTTTTATTAAGTACTTTGCGAGTTATGAGGGTTGAATGATAGAGTAGCGCCGGTATTAACATTATCCAAGGTGTACTACATGGAGGTTACTCGCTCGGATTTGCATCTGTTGTGTGTGTGATCCAGCTAACTAAGGCAAGATCGATTCCTCAACATATCCTCATATTTCGCTGAAGTCAAATTGCCAAAAAATTGCTCCATAAAACGTGTATGAAACGTCTCGTTAGTTCCTTCATTTACCGCTATGTGACGCACTACATGCAGTCTAACTCGCATTTAAAATTCAACTAAGAATGTATAAAGCTATCAAAGAACGAGCACCTTCTAACTTCAGCTTTGAGCAAGCAGAAATTAATTGTTATCGTCCAAATACAACGTACGATTAATTAAAATTAAACGTTTTAAAAATGGCTGGCGACTTGTCGGAACGTGAAAGAATCACTATCCTCATGATGCGTGGATGGGGTGATAACGAAAGATCGTTCTCTGATGTCGTTCGATTATTTAATGACACGTATCCGAACCGTCGAATTAATAAGTCCACTGTGTTAAAAACAATAGAACGTTTTAGACAAACTGGTAGCGTAAGAAATCGCTCTAAGTCAGGAAGACCATTGTCTGCAACCAACGAAGAAAAACAACTTGATGTTCTGCAGACATTTATTGAAGATCCCAATTCTAGTGTTCAGAGAGTCGCTCAAACTCACGATATTGCTCCCATGTCGGTTTGGAGAATTTTAAAGAAGAACAAGTTCCATCCATATAAATTGCAATACGTTCAAGAATTGCAAAACGGAGATGAGGAGCGTCGTATACATTTCTGTGAAAGAATGATGGCACTAATAGATGTCCGGCCCATCTTCCCTTATCAAATTGTTTTCACAGACGAGGCAACTTTTACCTTAACGGGAGAAGTTAATAATCAAAATTTTCGTTTCTGGTCAGATGAGAATCCGAATTGGGTGCGGGAAACTCACACACAACATCCACAAAAAATAAATGTATGGTGCGGAATAATAGATGGCTATTTAATAGGGCCGTTTTTTTTTGAAGAATATTTGAACGCTCAAAGGTATGAGAGATTACTTGTTGATCAAATAATTCCAGCCATACAGAATACTTTTCCAAATAATTTCCAAGAAATATGGTTTCAGCATGATGGAGCTCCTGCTCATTTTGGTGCAGGACCACGTCGTATTTTAAATGAGACTTTTCCGCTACGGTGGATAGGAAGAAGGAACGGAAATGAGGGAGGAGAGGATTGGCCACCTCGGTCACCAGATCTAACTCCTCTTGATTATTATCTATGGGGATATCTGAAGAGTAAGGTTTACAGAACAAAACCTAAAACCATTCACGAATTGATACAGCGAATAAGGGATGAAATGGCTTTGATACCTTTTGAAACGAATCGTAAAGTCATTTCTACATTCTACCAAAGATTAGCATATTGTCAGGAAGTAAATGGCAGCCACTTTCAGCATTTACTTTAACACATTGAAACACATTTGCAATCGTTTGGTGCAACCTAACCTGATCTCTGTATACACGCACCGCACGCACGCACACGCACACATTTCGAACAATTATTATGATAAATGAGCATCCACAAATTTATTTACTGTTTACTATGTCGATTGCTTTCCAGGTCTTTAAATGCTCGATTGTAATTTGGTTGGGTCTTTGCTTTTGCTGACTGGATCCACGACCGATCTTGCCTTAGTTAGCTGGATCACACACACAACAGATGCAAATCCGAGCGAGTAACCTCCATGTAGTACACCTTGGATAATGTTAATACCGGCGCTACTCTATCATTCAACCCTCATAACTCGCAAAGTACTTAATAAAAATGAACATTATTATAGTGTTTTGGAAAGCTCTTGAATTAAGCTATAAGAATATGCAATCAAATGTAGAGGGTGTCATTTAAAAAAGTCAATGTGACCTTGACCTGACCTTGACGACGCCATCCAAGGTCAAACTGATAGAATCAGTATATAGATCTTCTTAAACCCTACAACTTTTGTTGGAAACACTTTTCTGTAAAACGTATATTTTCCGAGATATTTAGGGGTTTCCACACTTTTGGTAGACCCTGTATATATATATACAGGGTGTCCAAAATGTGTGGGAACACCTAAATATTTCGGAAAATAAGCATAATAGAGAAAAATGTTTCAAACAAAAGTTGTAGGGTTTACAAAGATCTATTTACTAATTTTATCAGTCTGACCTTGAGTGGCGTCCTTAAGGTCAGGTCAAGGTCACGTCGATTTTTGCAAACGGAACACCCTATTTATGATACCAGAATTTGATAGCTGGTATCAAGAGCTTTTCAAAACACTATAATAAAGTAAGTTTTCATTAAGTATTTTTCGAGTTTCGGAGCTTGAAAGTTACAGTACTGCCGCGCCGGCGTCGGCATTAGCATTACCCAAGGTGTACCACGTGGAGGTTCTCCGGTCGGATTTAAACTTCGCGTGCGTGTGTGCGTGCGTGCGTGTGCGTGTGCGTGTAGGGGGTGAGTGAGTAGTTAGAGCAAGTGTGCAAATTGCCGTCCATCAACAGTCTGACAATGCGCCAATCTACTGTAAAAACTTGAAATAGCGTTCTCACAAAAATGAGGAGGTATTAGAGTTACCTCGTCATTTATACGGCGACGGAGTTCGTCCAAATTTCTAGATTTCGTAGTATAGACTCTACTTTTGAGATGACTTCAAAAGAAATAATCCAGAGGTGAAAGATCTGGAGATCGAAGTGGCCATTCTATTGATCCTCTCCTGCCTATCCATTTGTTCGGGAATACTTCATTTAAGTATTCTCGTACACCTCGACCATAATGGGCAGGTGCTCCGTCCTGCTGAAACCAGATTTCATTAAAATTGTCACCAACACGTTGTATTGCTGGTACAATATCGCGTTCAAGCATTGTTCTGTATTTTTCAGCAGTCAAATTATCGTCAATGAAGAAAGGACCAATCACCCTGTCAGCAAGAAGTCCAGTCCATACATTCAATTTTTCCGGATGTTGCGTGTGAGCTTCAATCATCCAATGAGGATTTTCATCTGAAAATCTGCAATTATGGCGATTGATATTGCCATTCAGCTTAAATGTCTCTTCATCAGAAAAGACTATTTTGGTCGCAAATTCAGGATCCATGTCAATTCTTTGCATGACATCCTCACAAAATTCTACACGACGATCGAAATCGTCTTCAGATAATTCCTGAACTGGATGAATCTTGTAAGGATGAAATTCATTCTTTTTTAAGATTTTATGCACAGACATTCGGGAGATGTCGTGGTGTTGCGCAGATTTTCGAATAGATATATGCGGATTCTCAATATACGATTGTAAGACATCTAAAGACTTTTCTGCATTTGTTGCAGAAACCGATCTACCAGACTTTGATCGATTTTTGACATGACCAATTTCTTCGAATCGTGCGATTGTGCGGTGTACCGTCGATTTTGATATAGGGACTTTACCAACCCGAAAAGTGTCATTAAATATCTGCAACGTTTCATTATAAGATCTGCGACGATCACCCCACCCTCGCATCATCAGTAACGTTATGCGTTCGTGATCTGTAAGTTCCGACATAACAAAATCGTATTGGATACGAGAAGTTAGAAGTCGTAAGTGCTTAAATTGCCGTCCGTCAACAGACTGGCAATGCTAATCCATTGTAAAAACTTGAAATGACGTTCTCACAAGAATGTAACTTACGTCTTACGTTCTAATATAACCGATAATAGTAGCTTGCAACCACTGTAATTGTAGAATGGGCTTAAATAGCAACTCCCTATAAGTGATCGTCGTAGGCGATCTAGCAATTTCGGTCCAGTCCAATACGATCGTATCCAATATGATTTATTAGATTGACGGTAATTTGACTGCTGAAAAATACAGAACAATGCTTGAACACGATATTGTACCAGCAATACAACGTGGTGACAATTTTAATGAAATCTGGTTTCAGCAGGACGGAGCACCTGCCCATTATGGTCGAGGTGTACGAGAATACTTAAATGAAGTATTCCCGAACAAATGGATAGGCAGGAGAGGATCAATAGAATGGCCACCTCGATCTCCAGATCTTTCACCTCTGGATTATTTCTTTTGGGGTCATCTCAAAAGTAGAGTCTATACTACGAAACCTAGAAATTTGGACGAACTCCGTCGCCGTATAAATGACGAGGTAACTCTAATACCTCCTCATTTTTGTGAGAACGCTATTTCAAGTTTTTACAGTAGATTGGCGCATTGTCAGACTGTTGATGGACGGCAATTTGAACACTTGCTCTAACTACTCACTCACCCCCTACACGCACACGCACACACGCACGCACGCACACACGCACGCGAAGTTTAAATCCGATCGGAGAACCTCCACGTGGTACACCTTGGGTAATGCTAATGCCGACGCCGGCGCGGCAGTACTGTAACTTTCAAGCTCCGAAACTCGAAAAATACTTAATGAAAACTTACTTTATTATAGTGTTTTGAAAAGCTCTTGATACCAGCTATCAAATTCTGGTATCATAAATAGGGTGTTCCGTATGCAAAAATCGATGTGACCTTGACCTGACCTTAGGGACGCCACTCAAGGTCAGACTGATAAAATTAGTAAATAGATTTTTGTAAACCCTACAACTTTGTTTGAAACATTTTTCTCTATTATGCTTATTTTCCGAAATATTTAGGTGTTCCCACACATTTCGGACACCCTGTATATATATATATATATATGCACGGTGTCCTTGAGCATGTGCTTACTTACTTGTAAGATGGTAGAACGCAATAAATTAAATAAAATAATCCTATTCTATGTAACGATTTTTGTAACAACAATCGAAATATTAATTATTGAAGTCGGATTATTGAAGACGAATGAGAGAAGCGCTCGAGCGCTCGAGCTATAGCACGGCCCACCGTGTCAGACATTGCCTGCCGGCACGCGGCGAGAGGAGGGACAGCGCGCCGCTACCCGTGGTTACCGCTGTCACTATCCCACAATTGCGCGGAGGCCGTAGATGCCGACCGACTGCTCTCTCGCAGGTACCACCCGTCTACGCGTCGTAGGTACCGCCGAGAATGGATTTCGAGATTCGCGTGCCGCTCGGACGCCGTAGGTGCCGCTCGACCGCTCTATCGTAGGTACCGGTCGGCCACGCGTCGTAGGTACTGCCCGGCTACGCGTCGTAAGTACCGTCGAGAACGGACTTGGTGCAATGCGAGCCGCGAGGAGGCCGTAGGTGCCGCCCGACCGCTCTCTCGTAGATATCGCCCGGCTACGCGTCGTAGGTACCGCCTAGAACGGACTTGGTGCGTCGCGAGCCGCGCGGAAGACGTAGGTTCCGCCCGACCGTTCTCTCCTAGGTACCGCTCGGCCACGCGTCGTAGGTATCGCCGAGAACGGACATGGTGCATCTCGAGCAGCGCGGAGGCCTTAGAAGCCGCCCGAGTTACTACTCGTAGGTACCGCCCGATAGCTCACTCGTAGGTACTGCCCGGCCACGCGTTGTAGATACCGGCCGGCTACGTGTCGTAGGTACCGACGAGAACGGACATGGTGCGTCGCCAGCAGAGCGGAGGCCTTAGAAGCCGTCCGTAATACCACTCGTAGGTACCGCCCGGCTACGCTTCATAGATACCGCCGAGAACGGACATGGTGCGTCGAGAGCAGCGCGGAGGCCTTAGAAGCCGCCCGAAATACCACTCTTAGGTACCGCCCGATAGCTCACTCGTAGGTACCGCCCGGCTACGCATCGTAAAAACCGTCGAGAACGGACTTGGTGCGTCGCAAGGAATGGTACCAGTTTGGCCACGTTAATATTGACCACCGCCCCGATTGACCACGTTGCTATTGACCACCGTCCCGATTGACCACCGTCCCGATTGACCACCGTCCCGATTGACCACCGTCCCGATTGACCACCGCCCCGATTGATCACCGTCCCGATTGACCAACGTCCCGATTGACCACGGTCCCGATTGACCAAGGACCCAATTGACCACAAAAAAAATTAAAAAATTAAATTAATATAACTAGTTATAAATATAATAATAAAAAAATAATTTAAAAAATAATTTAAATATTTACATAACGTATGATTGAGTTGCCCACAGTTTTATAAACCTATGTGAAATTCCAGTTTGCGTTGCAAAGTACACGCACAGCTGCACACCCTCCCACCGGCCGCCACTACCACCACTCCCCACCGCCACCACTCCCCACTCCACCCTGTTGCAAACCCATATGAAATTCGGGACGGTGTTCAATCGGGACCGTGGTCAATCGGGACGGTGGTCAATCGGGACTGTGGTCAATCGGGACGTAGTCAATCGCAACGTGGTCAATTTCAACGTGGTCAATCGGGATGGTGGTCAATATTAACGTGGCCAAACGGGACGCTCCCCGTCGCGAGCAGGATTAATGGATTAAAGCAGTAACTTAAGGAATTGACCAATCACATTCATGCATTAAAAGAATACTTGACTGTGTTTGCCCAATGTATGGAGTTACAGCTTTAATTCATTAATTCTACTTCCGTTGTAGACGATGCTTTAGGGTCGTCCACAGTGGTCGTAGCATAAGTTTGTACGGCGTAAGATTCAAGAAATTCACCAATCACAGTCAAATATTAAGAGTATACTCTTAATATTAAGAGTATACTCTTAATATTAAGAGTATACTCGATTGTGATTGATCAATTTCTTGAGTTTTACGCCTTACAATCTTATGCTACAGCCATTGCAGACGAACCTTTAATCCCGATCAACAACAGATAATTTAAGCTCTAATCCTTAAGTAATTGTCCAATCACAGCCGAGCATTCTCTTCATAAGCCGCGTTCCGAAATTATTACCAGTATACTGCAAATTCTATAGCCCTCGTTACGTATATTATATATTTTCATTGTTGATAGTAAACTGGCAGCAATTTCGGAACACGGCCATACTTGACTGTGATTGGTCAATTTCTTGAGTCTTACGCTTTACAACATAATACTACGGCCATTGTAGACGACTCTTGAAGCGTCGTCTACACTGAGATTTTAAGGAGACTAAAGACGGGCCATACTTGACTGTGATTGGTCAATTTCTTGAGTCTTACGCCTTACAACATAATACTACGGCCATTGTAGACGACTCCTGAAGCGTCGTCTACACTGAGATTTTAAGGAGACTAAGACTTAAGAAATTGACCAATCACAATCGAATATTTTCTTAATACTTGACTATAATTGATCAATTTCTTAAATCTTACGCCTTAAGTCTCCTTAAAATTTCATTGTAGACGACGCTTAATGTAGCGTCTATAATAAGATATTAAGGCGTAACTCTTAAGAAGTTGACCAACCATAGTCTAGTATTATGGGAATATTCGATTATGTTTGGTGAATTTCTTAAGACATACGCCTTAATATGTCATTGTAGATGACGCTTAAAGGCAATTCTACGGTGGCCGTAGCATAAGGTTGTAAGGTGAAAAACTCAAGAAATTGACCAATCACAGTCAAGTATTAAGATAATACTCGACTGTGATTGATCAATTTCTTGAGTTTTATGACGTACAACCTTATTCTACGGCCATTGTAGACAACTCTTTAATCCCGAAATACAATAGATAATTTAAGTTCTAAGCCTTAAGAAATTGACCAATCACAGCCGAGCATTCTCTTCATAAGTCATATTCCGAAATTACTATCTGTATTGCAAATTCTATAGTGATCGTTACGTATATTATATATTTTCAGTGTTGGCAGTAAACTGGCAGCAATTTCGAAACACGGCCATACTTGACTGTGATTGGTCAATTTCCTGAGGTTTACGCCTTGCAACCTTATGCTACAGCCGTTGTAGGCGACTCTTGAAGTGTCGTCTACACTGAGATTTTAAAGAGACTTAAGGCGTAAGACTTAACAAATTGACCAATCATAGTCTAGTATTAAGAGAATATTCGATTGTGATTGGTCAATTTCTTAAGTGTTACGCCTTAAAATCTCATTGTAGAAGACGCTTAACATGTCGTCTACTAGGATTAACGGATTAAAGCAGTAACTTAAAGAATTGACCAATCACATTCAAGCATTAAAAGAATACTCGACTGTGATTGCCCAATTTATGGTGTTACAGCTTTAATTCATTAATTCTACTGCCGTTGTAGACGATGCTTTAGGGTCGTCCACAGTGACCACAGCATAAGGTTGTAAGGCGTAAAATTCAAGAAATTAACCAATCACAGTCAAATATTAAGAGAATACTCGACTACTATTGGTCAATTTTTTGAGTCTTACGCCTTACAACCTTATGCTACGGCCATTGTAGACGACTCTTGAAACATCGACTACACTGAGATATTAAGGAGACTTAAGGCGTAAGACTTAAAAAATTGACCAATCATGGTCTAGTATTAAGAGAATATTCGATTGTGATTGGTCAATTTCTTAAGTCTTACGCCTTAAAATCTCATTGTAGAAGACGCTTAACATGTCGTCTACAAAGGCGATAGGATTAAAGCAGTAACTTAAGGAATTGACCAATCACATTCAAGCATTAAAAGAATACTCGACTGTGATTGGTCAATTTATTGAGTT